AACCAGTCAGCCACTGAACCACATCCTCAGCTTAGACAAAGAGCCATACTGTTTTTTTTTTTCATTTTGCTTTTTTTTTTTTTTTTTTTTTTTTTTTTTTTTTTTGCCAGGCAGTGGCGGCGCATGCCTTTGAGCCCAGTCTAGGGAAGCAGAGGCAGGTGGATCTCTGAGTTCAAAGCCAGCCTGGTCTACAGAGTGAGTTCCAGGATATCCAGAGCTGTTATACAAAGAAGCCCTGTCTCAAAAAACAAAAACAAAAACACTCCCAAAAAACAAACAAAAAGCAAAAAAGAAAAAAGAAAAAAATTAAATTTGTTTTTAGACAATTTCACACATACACAAAATACTGACTACTCTTATTCCCTACCTTCTTGTATTTCCCTATGACCCTGTTCACCCCACCCCCACCTTCCCCATGAACATCTTTTCCACTTTTGTGTCTGTTCATTTTGTTTTGTGACCCACTGAGTTTAACCAGGACCATCTGTGTGACCATGGATTTGGAGCCATCTGTTGGAGTCTGGTAGGCTCACCAGTGGCTAGATAACTGAGGACATCAAACTGTTTTGATAAAGAGCCAGACTGTATTTTCAGTTTCCAGATCATATGCTGTCTGGTGTAATGGCCATGTTTTCTCTTGTCGAATGAAGTCAGCCATAGACAACATGTAAATGAGTAAGCATGACTCTGTGCCAATAAAGCTTTGATTATTAAAAGGCTGAAGCCTATATATAGCAAGTGGGTCGCAGTTCTTTGACCTTTGCATATAAAGACTCCAGAATGATTGGGTATTTGACCTATAGGTTGGTGTACAGAATATACTTGTACATTTATATTTGTTTGGCCCTGTATGACCACAATTTGGCTCCTTGCTCTAGAATCCCCATAGGTAAAGCCCCAGCCACACCACAGCTCCATGGCTGTAGCCCAGATCAGGACCCCTAAGATGACCCTACATAGTCATTCCTTAGCTAGAGGGTTGAACTGGATTAGCAACACCTGTGGAAGCAAGGACACAACACTGGTGGAGAACTTTCCTACAATGCATGAGACACTGAGTTTTATCTCCCAAATCACCAAGAGAAAAGCCTTAAAAAAAATCTCATTAGGCCTGTTCCACAGGGGGAACCCAGATCTGCTACTTTAACCAGATCAAAAGCCAATGGCTGGATAAATCATAGGACCTGGGGAAAACCTACTATTGTTGTTTTGTTAAATGACATGCTGTCAAACTGCCTTCTGAAAGGTTGATGTTTGCACACTAGCCTATGGGTGCAAACATAAACCTTTATTCTTCATTCTGCAGTGGCAGCAGTTAATGTACAGACTCAAAACCTTTCAGACTGCTGAGAATAAGTGCGTAGTTAGTATTCAGCCCTAAATGGGACATCTATATCACACCCCCCTCAAAGATCAGGGGACATCACATAAAAGGGGTGGAAAGAGATCTGGGCAGTGGTGGTGCGTGCCTTCAATCCCAGCACTCAGGAGGCAGAGGCAGGTGAGTCTCTGTGAGTTTGAGGCCAGCCTGGTCTACAGAGTGATTTCAAGGACAGCCAGGGCTACAGAGAGAAACCCTATCTCAAAAAAGGGTGTTGTGGTACAGATGGTAGAAAGAAAGTAAAAGCTGGAGAATGTGGAGGATCACTGTGAAATGTTGCCTACTGAACACGTATGGCCATTGTACTCATGGACTCACTGCGGCCATGGTCAATGCTGCCTACTGAACATGTATGGCCATTGTACTCATGGACTCACTGCAGCCATGGTCAATGCTATCTACTGAACATGTATGGCCATTGCACTCATGGACTCACTGCGGCCATGGTCAATGCTGTCTACTGAACATGTATGGCCATTGTACTCATGAACTCACTGCGGCCATGGTCAATGCTATCTACTGAACATGTATGGCCATTGTACTCATGGACTCACTACGGCCATGGTCAATGCTGTCTACTGAACATGTATGGCCATTGTACTCATGGACTCACTGCGGCCATGGTCAATGCTATCTACTGAACATGTATGGCCATTGTACTCATGGACTCACTGCGGCCATGGTCAATGCTGCCTATTGAACATGTATGGCCATTGTACTCATGAACTAACTGCGGCCATGGTCAATGCTGTCTACTGAACATGTATGGCCATTGTACTCATGAACTAACTGCGGCCATGGTCAATGCTATGTACTGAACATGTATGGCCATTGTACTCATGAACTAACTGCGGCCATGGTCAATGCTGTCTACTGAACATGTATGGCCATTGTACTCATGGACTCACTGCGGCCACGGTCAATGCTATCTACTGAACATGTATGGCCATTGTACTCATGAACTAACTGCGGCCACGGTCAATGCTGTCTACTGAACATGTATGGCCATTGTACTCATGGACTCACTGCAGCCATGGTCAATGCTGCCTATTGAACCTGTATGGCCATTGTACTCATGGACTCACTGTGGCTGTGGTCACCTGTGCAAGATCAAGCCAAGATCCGCCAATATACTAACAGGCATCACTAATTGGACTCAGTGAGCTATTAACAAAAAAAGGAAAAGATGTGAAGAGGGATGTGTTGGGGGATCCAGGGAGAGTGGGAGGGGGGAGTTGGGTTTTGTATGAGCAAGATACATTGTTTACATGTGTGAAAATTTCAAAGAATAAATAAAAGAGATGGTATTTTAAAATCTCCTTAAATATGGATGACATATCCATGCTAATAGGCAGGCTTTAACTTCCTGGATGCTGAGAAGAGAAAAAACTTTGAGGCTATGTCTAAATTCTGTAGGAGGGGAGGTATGTTTGATTAGTTATGTCTGCCACGGGCACCAGAAGAGAAATAGTGGTATGTCTGTTAACCATTTATGTTCCTGTAACAAGATGATCTCCAGCATGTAGCTTTGACAAGGCATGATAGTGTGCCCAGATATTCCTTTGGAAACATTCTGGATGTTGAAAATACATAGCATATAGCCATCTGGCACTGAAGTGTGACTTGTAATTTTATAAATCCTAACACATCTACTTGTATGTAAGAGACAGGTCCTGATTCTCTGCTTATGGTACACACACACAAGAAGCAGCTAGCCATGGGGGTGGAGGGAGGGGGAAGAAATCAAATGTACACCTTCTATTTTTCCCACAAGTTAGGCTCCGAGCAAAGATACCCACACATTTCTTGTCAAGTTTGACAGCTGTTTATTGAATACTCATCACACCAATCAAAGATTGCTTCCTGTCCTCCAGGAAAGGGAATGACAGCGCTTCCTCATGGGTAAGAGGCAGCATAAGCTAGAAGGAGTATAGGAGCGCGTACGTGGTGGGGGAGACAGTGGAAGAAAGGATGAAGGAGATGGGGAGGACACATGGGAGTCCCAAGCTTGGAGAGATGGTGAATTGGGCAAAGGCATGGAGGCAGAGGGGAGGGAGAGGATGCTAGAATTTCTGGGAGAATGAATCCCCAGCAGAGGAGATGAATTTAGCTGATTGGGTGGGATCACAAAAAATCCAAAAGACATGGATGTAGGGTCTGACTTTGATCTCTAAAGTAACAGTGTTCCTTGTGTCTCCTTGAGAGACAGCTATTTCAGAGAAATTGGTACCAAGGAAGCAGGGTCATTGCTGTGATAGATCTCACCATGTGGCTTTTATGCTTTGGACAGAATTTGTGGGAAGAATGTGAAAGCTTTGGGTACACTAGAGTCCTGGAAACAGAGCTAATAGGCCGTTTCATGGTTACTTAGACAGTTGAAGCCTAGCTCCTGAGGTTTTGGAGAGGAGCAAAGATGTATCAGGAGCAGAGGCTTTTGGTAGATATTTTGGCTAAGAATCTGTGTGTGGGGCTGAAGAGATGGCTCAGAGGTTAAGAGCACTGGCTGTTCTTCCAGAAGTCCTGAGTTCAATTCCCAGCAACCACATGGTGGCTCACAACCATCCATAATGTGATCTGGTGCCCTCTTCTGGCCTGCAAGGATACATGCAGGCAGAACACGGTGTACATTTCAAAAAAAAAAAAAAAAAAAAAAAAAAAAAGAATCTGTGTGTGTTGATCGTGCTGGGGCTGAGGAAGCCGCTGCAATTGGCGAAGAGGTTAACGCCACTCTCATGGCGCCTCTGTCTCTGGGACAGGCCCTTCGGAAGAAGATGGCTACTGGCTGGAGGGGAGGGACTACTCAGATCCTCTGTGGCCCAGGAGTTTATTTTGGCATGATTGTTTCTTTGATTTTAAGTAAGAATGTTTATTCTGTGATGTCACTAGCTGCGCCCTTCTTGCCTTGACTTCCCCATAATGATACATTGTAAACCGGGATGTGACATCTAAATATCCTTGGTCTCTAAACAACAGGGCCGGTTGTATCTTTCAGAGTGTTCCAGAGAGAATTCTCCCACAGGTTGTGCAGAGAGATGAAGAAGGATTCTCGATTCTGCAGTAGGGTTGAGATCATCCAGGCTGAGCCCGGAGGGTGCTGAGGAAGAGAAGAGAGACAGGTGCAAAAGCCATTTCAAAGTCAGCTGGAGGGATGTGAGGAGTGTATGGACCATGGCCACAAGTCCCAGGCAAGGTCAAGACGGGGAGGAAGTCAGGCAATGCTGGGAAGAGGGACCAGAAAGAAAAGATCCATCTTTTTTTCTTTTTGAAACATGGTTTCTCTGTGGAGCCCTGGCTGCCCTGGATCTCACTCTGTAGTCCAGGCTGGCCTCGAACTCACAGAGATCCACCTGCCTTTGCCTCCAGAGTGCTGGGATTAAAGGTGTGCATCATCACCGCCAGTCTTAAACTGTGAGTTTTTATAATGACAGAGGTGGCCATAAAACCATGAACCATATACTTGAAAGACAATATGGCTGGTCTACCTTCCAGCCTAGTGCCCAGATCCCACAGTGGCGACCTTAGCTGCAGGTTATGAGGAGTTTCTAGAAATTGTTCAGAAAGCTCCTCCCTCTGAAGTAGGAATGACTTTTTATATATTTTCGTGTGAGTCACAGGAGGAAGAGGAAGGCTTAGTATGGCAGAAGGAGCAGAAAGTTAGCTATCTGAAGGCAATCTGAGGCTGCGGTAACGGACGTAGGGAGTCCAGCCTGAGGAAGGCGATGTTAATGTTGCCGTTAATATGTGCTCTGTTTTGGCTGGTTGTTCTAAAGAAAGACATGGATAAAGGGGTGTGACGAAGAGAAGAGAGGAGTCCAGCAGCAATCTTCGAGGTGTCGTCGCTGTCTCTAAACATCTGTGGGGCAGAGAGAGCACCTGCAGGAGGAGCGCTGTCACTGCCCGCTGTTTTATTGCAGGATGAGTTGCTTCCGGAGGGTGCTTTGGACTTCGGGGTTCACTTTCCTTGGTTTCCCTTCTTGAATCACCTCCGTGTCTGCCATACGTCGGGTTACCTGCAACAACAGGTGTGGTCAGCTTCGGGGACTCAGCTGTCGGGGAGGCTGGGTGTCAGGAGAGCATGGGGATGAGGTGGCAGAGGAGGACAGGTGGGCGGGCATCCATGTCTGGAGACATTAATTGTCCTCTAGTATTCCATAGTTTCTATGGAATCTTTGGTTAGCTGGCTTGTGTGTATGTCTGTATGGTATATGTGTTCCTGCCATGCATGTGACAGTTGTCTGAGAGAAGTGACATTGGGGTGTCTTCTTCCATAATGTTTTATTGAGGTAGGGTCTCTTGTTGAATTAGTACTTCAGTAATAGATAGATGCTCTAAGCCTCTGCATGCACAAACATACATGTACACCCACCCACTCTTCCCTACCTGTGCCTTCACACATGCATACTGCACACAAATAAATACATGAAAATGGAAAAAAAATTAACTCTACAAAACCGTCCCCCCACACGGTGAGCTTCGGAGCCCCAGTATGTTTGCATGGAGATGAGATCATCGAGAAGAGTTGGGAGGAGCTCAGCCTGGGTGGGGGTCCCAGGTGACTCATCTGACTCACCTCTTCCAGCAGCTCTGTGATGGGGCCTCTTTTGTTTATGAACACATCTGTCAGGGTCTGTATGAAGCCGGAGCCGTTATCCTCATGTCTATAGGAGAGGTGGCCTGCGAAGGCCAGAGAACCGAGTTTGGAGAAGTCTTCAGAGGGCAGAGGGGACCCTGGAAGAGGGTCCCTTCCTAAAGGAGAAGCTCAGGGATCGGGGGTGCTGGTCATGGGGCAGAGGAGGGATGGTATCTGCCACCTTGGGCCAGGTGAGCACTCTTACCCTCTACTGTGGAGTAGATGTGCATGGTATCCGTATAGGTTGGGATGGTTTGGGGATGGTTCTTCCTGATCATAGCAACCTGATCTCCACCCATTTCTTCACCGAGGTCTCTGTGCTCTAAAACCAAGGGGAGTGGAGGGAAACGTCAGGGAGGAAAGTGGGACCAAGAGAAGATTGTAGAGCAGTCTGGTGGCATGCTGGGTTCATCTGGGGCCCTGAGTCTGGGACCAGCCTGGATGAAAAACAGACTCTTGGCTGGAGAGATGGCTCAGTGGTTAAGAGCATTTATTGCTCTTGCAGAGGACCAAAAACCAGTTCCCAGGGCCCATGTAGTTCCAGCTCCAGGGAGCTGCATCCCTTTTTGGCCTCCTCAGCTACCTGAAGACACGCATGCACACACTTACATACAGACACACACACATACACACAACTGAAGATAAAATAAATCTTAAAAATACATGGACTTGGGGTTGGGGATTTAGCTCAGTGGTAGAGCGCTTGCCCAGCAAGCACAAGGCCCTGGGTTCGGTCCTCAGCTCTGAAAAAAAAAATACATGGGCTTAGCTGGGCATGATAATGCATGCCTATAATCTCAGTACTTGGTGAACCAAGGCAAGAAGATCATAAATTTGAGGCTAGCATGGACTCCGTAATGAATTCCAGGTTAGCCTGGGATACATAGTGAGACTCTGTCTTAATACCTTTTCACGAAAGAACAAGGATGCTGTGTCCCCATCCTCACCTCCTCTGCAGGCCTGAATGATGTACACTTTGGGCTTGCCTCTCAGGGCCTTGCAGTTCTTGTTGTTCAAGACCTCAAAAAGGTCCTCCAGCCTGACCATCTTCTCATCTTCTCCCTCGAGGAGGCCTTCCTCGCCATGTGCCATGAGCACCACGAAGGCACAGCTGACAGGCTCTTCCCAGTCATCTATGGTCTGCTGAAATTTGTCCAACTCTTCCAGGAATTGCTTGGAGGGAGAGGAATGAGCAGGCTCAGATAGTTGCCCCAAAGCTACCTTTCTGGTCCAGCCCCCTTTCCTACTGCCCTGAAGCTGGCAACTCAATACCTCAGCAGTGGGGTTTGATTTCATGGTGCTTTCAAATTTTAGGTGATGGAACATGCGTTTCAGGGCATCCATGTCTTCCTCAGAACCCTTCCGGGCTTTGGTGACACACAGTGTCAGGGACAGACGGGAGCCCGACATATCATATTTTTCCTAGGGCAGAGAGACGGAGGAAGAAGAAAACAGTGCAATGAAGCCTAAGGTTAGGGTTGGCAGCTAAAACAAAAGGTACCTGCGGCACTCAAATTCACTTCAAAGTTTGTCTTTGTGGTACTGGGAATCGAACCCAAGGCCTTGCCTGTACTAGACCCATGCACTTCTACTGAGCCATATCCCCAGCCCCTGACACTCAGATAAAAAACAAGTAAGTATGGATGCATCCATCCCAGCATAGGAAACACACTGGTGGTTCCATACCCATGAGCGTATGGACAGCACTAATTGAATGCAGTGGGTTATTACATACAAAAAGAAAACATGAAGTTGGGAGGGGACATGTTGGGGAGAAAATGATGGGAGCTGGGGGAAGAATAGGGGTGGAAATTATCATGTTTCATTGTATACATGGATGAAACTCTCAAATAATTAAAATATAAACAACAATAACAAACCAAATAAAAATTTAGTGTAAGCATTTCCCAAATATTTCATGGGTCTGGGTATTAGTAACAAACCATTTGCTACTAATGCGGAATTCAAATTCACCTGGGTATCCCCTATTTTCATCACCCAAGTACGGCAGCCTGGCCTTGAGCCTAAACTCTGTTTGCAGATATAAATGAGTGCGTGCATGTAGGGGTAGGGGAGACAGGGATTTTGAAGGTCACCTCCAGGGGTCACATCTGGTGGGCTCAACTCTCTCCTGGTCCTTCCAGACCGAGCTCTGAGGAGGTCACGGTGCGATCTGACTGTGACATCTGTCACCCCATTGACCTCCAGGGCTTGATTAAGCTGGTCTGGCTGGCTCAGTAGATGTCCCCTTCCTCTCTCACTATGCTATATGTGTCTTTCCTGAAACTGTGCACTCAGCCAAAGAGGAAGGTCTTCCCTGATTGACACTTAGGTCAAAAGTGAGTGAGTAGCCAGGCGGTGATGGAGCATGCCTTTAATCCCAGCACTCAGGAGGCAGAGGCAGGTGGATCTCTGTGAGTTCATGGCCAGCCTGGTCTACAGAGCGAGTTCCAGGAAAGGCACCAAAGCTACACAGAGAAACCCTGTCTCGAAAAACAAAACAAAACAACAACAACAAAAAAGTGAGTGAGAGCTGCCTTCCCTCGAGAACCTTCAAACAAGCCGCCACGGTTCGGGGTGCTCTGATGATTTCTCCATTTCGTGCTCAGTTGCAGAGGTCTCAGACTGTCTAGAGCTGTGACTGGGTTCCTATCTTATGCTGTCTAAGAAGGAATGGTACTGAGGGTCAAATTTTCTCTTTTGAAGAGAAGCCGTTGACTGAGAGCCAAAATGATAAGAGCTTAGGTCTTGGAGACAGATGTCGCTGGGTTCCTTCCCCCTTTCTTCAATTTGGATTCTACCTCTGGGTCTATTTTTGTCATCCTTTCTATTCTTTCTGAAGCATTATGTTTCTCACCGCTTTCCCACATCCCCATCCTTTCTGCACCCTCACCCACCTCCTCTAAGGGCTGAGGGTTGCTCATCTCTCCTCGATTCCAAGTCCAGATTTCAGCACCGTTGTCTTGTTCTGGAGGTCAAGATAAGATAGGTAGAAAGTCTCCATAGGAAGGCTGAGGGGATCAGGTGGCAGATTGATTTGTCTACCTTGGGCTATTGAGACTGAATAGGAAAGTTACTACATGGTCAGACCTGGGCAAGGACTGGTAGTCCCTGGAGTGTGTTTTCTAGAGTTGCAGTATGGTGGAGTCTTTCATCCATGTTATTCTAGGCCCATCAAAAATGGCATCTCTTGCCTTTAATCCCAGCATTCCAGAGGCATGGGCAGGCACATCTCTCTATGAGTTCAAGGCCAGCCTGGTTTACAGAGCAAGTTCCAGGACAGCCAGGTTAGTTACATAGAGAAACCCTGTCCCAAAAACCCAAAATAGGGTGGGAGAAAAAAGAAAAGAAAAGAAGACATCTCTCTGGGACCCTGCTTCCTTTCTCTAGAATGTTCTCCTGCCTGTGCTGGGGCAGATTCCTAAATAGCTCAGACATCTCACTATTATACCAAGGGATGACTGGCTGGGGAGGATTCAGGATCAGCTAAAAGTGAGAATTCCACCAAAGTGAGGGCTGGCTTGATACTGTCCTGGTGAGTCTCTCCTCTGAAGAGATCAACCTATCTCTCCCTCTTTGCCTTGAGACTGAGCATCTGCCAGCAGTCTTCATCCTCCTCTCTGAGTCCAGTCCTGCACTCTGGCTAAACTGAAGGATGTCTGGCATTCCCTGGGCCTTTCCTCACACTTGTATATCAGACCAGAATTCTTCCTATGATTGGAGTGACATAATGTCTGCTATGCCTTCTCTCCATTGCATATTCTACCTACCTACCTACCTACCTACCTACCTACCTACCTACCTACCTACCAATCCACTCACCCATCCACCATCCAGCCATCTACTCATTTCTACATCAATTCATGAACCCACCCATCACTTTCTAAATATTTACTCATCCACCCATCCACTCATCCATCCATCCACCCATCCACCCATCCACCCATCCATCCATCCATCCATCCATCCATCCATCCATCCATCCATCCATCCACCCATCCATCCATCCACCCACCCACCCATCCACCCACCC